TTCTGTACACTTCCTTCTTCTGCTGGAGTTTTGCCAGGAGTTCCTTGCTCATCCATGCAGGTCTCCTGCCCGCTTTGCTGGACTTCTTCCTCAGAGGGATGCACTGATCCTGAGCCTGGAGGAAGTGACGCTTGAATATTAACCAGCTTTCTTGGACCCCTCTTCCTTCTAGGGCCCTACCCCAGGAGATTCCCCTAAGTAGGTTCCTGAAGAGGCCAAAGTCAGCTCTCCTGAAGTCCAGCGTTGCAATCCTACTCATTGCCCTGCTCCCTCCTCGTAGGATCCTGAACTCCACCATCTCATGGTCACTGCAGCCAAGGCTGCCTCCAACCTTCACCTCTCCAACTAGACCCTCTTTGTTCGTTAGTACAAGGTCTAGCATTGCACCTCTCCTCGTTGGCGTCTCCACCACCTGGGTCAAGAAATTATCATCAATGCTTTGCAGGAACCTCTTTGACTGTTTGTGCCTAGCTGTGCTGTCTTCCCAACAGATGTCAGGGTGGTTGAAGTCTCCCATGAGAACCAGGGCCTGTGATCGTGAGGCTTCTTCCAGCTGTCTGTAGAAGGCCTCATCGATGACTTCCTCCTGATCAGGTGGCCTGTAGTAGACCCCCACAACAGTGTCACCCATGTTACCCTGCCCTTTAATCCTTACCCATAGGCTCTCAACTTGCTCTTCATTCATTTACACATGTTTTCACTGTGTTAGATCTTTGCTGATTACATTTTTCCTCTCCAGCATATATAATGAGGCAGTCTGTAAAGACTGCTTCACACCATCAGACTAACACTTTGCTCGGACACAAACCTCCTAGAATCAACACGGGTCGAAAGGTGTTTTTAATTTGTATCCTGCAGAGACATGGAGTTGTACTGTAGAGGCATGAGCTGCACAGCTTCTCATAGGAAGATTCAAGATTTGACTTGATACAGAACCAGTGTCACTGAGGTAATCCGGGATTCTGCTAAGTAAACATACTACCTGAGTAGATGGTGGTAAAAAGAGACATTATTTAATCATTTCTAGAGACTATCCGTGGTATATAAATTGTGGTGTGCTGCATGGCACCAGGGAATTCAAGCTGTTCCCACAGCCACTGTTTTTCTGACTTCCCATAGCAAATTCACTTCATTTTCACACACTTATTTTTCTCCTCACTTATAAAGCAGGAATGTAACGCTTAGACATTCAGTGATAACTCAGGTCCGTTCCTCAAAAATACTTCCTAAACATTAAATGAGGCTACTCTAACGGCTAACTGAACTCAATCAATCCAGGACTTATAGCCCAGAGTAGACAACATACTGTGCAGGAGAAGTGGGACTTTGAACTTGGCAATACTGACCCACAATGAAGTGGCTCTGCATATTCAGTCACATGCTAGCCAGTCTACGTTGTTATGGCCTGCAGTCCTTTCGGAGGACTGCAGAAAAACGCCTAAATAATCTCTATTCTACTAATATGAGCTTACACTAATTTGGTGCACTTTTCTTTTTTTATATATATATATACACACATACATACATACACACACACACATACACACACACACACACACATATATATATATATATATATATATAAGAGAGAGAGAGGACTCACAAAAGCAGGGGACATTGTAGTAGTGCAAAAGTTGACCACTGTGAGAAAGGACACTAAGTGTAAACTTTAAAATCTACATTCAAGTTATACCAGGGAGGAGAACTAGGCTTTATACTCCAACGGAAGCCATTTTTGACAGACCAGTACACGGAAGAAAAATCAGATTGTGCAAGACAAATTCTGCCCTGGAATAGCTACGGATTCTCCTTCTGTCTTGGAAGCGCGTTTCCTCCATTTTTCTTATTAAAAAAAAAAAAATTCAGTGTTTTTTCCATGTCCATGTTATACTCGTACATTCTAAGGCCCTGGTTATCTAATCAGTATAATCCAGTACGAATGGTGCAGCTCCAGAAAGACATTAGGCTGAAAAATGTGTTTCAGGTTGAATCAGGAGGGCTCCCAGTCAGATCCGTTGCTTGTATGAACGCTAATGCCAGCACAAGAGAGTGGGTAGGAATAAAGATGGGCAAGGTAAAGGCAGCACCACTCCCTCTCCACAACAGTAGAGATTTACACTAGAGTCAAGCAAGTGTGTAACTACAGCTTAAGTCAGTCCCCGCTTCTGTCTGTATGGATCTTCCACACAGAAATGGGGAAGAAATATATGTAAGAAACAGAAAATATGAACATGAAAGTAAAACGTGGCGGAAGAACTGACATGGGACAGTCCTAGAAGAATGCATCAACCCCGAAGTTTTAAGAACCACCTCTACATTCAAGCTTCGTCACACCTTTTTACTTCCATTCATTTTAAAGTACTTAGCTATACCGACGCTGTGGCTTTTGAGTACCGCTATCTATACTTGTCAAAGTGGCTGGCAGTCTCTCAGGTTAAGAAAGTACATACAGAAATGAAAACATTAAATCCTCATAACTAACTACTCCCTGTAACATTGCTACCTGGATTTGACCAAAAGCAAAACTGTATACAACTGAAAAGTGAAATCATCAGTTAAATTTGAGATCTCACTGGTATTTTACTTCCTCAATAGCACAGCAAAAACTTGTTCTAACAGAAGGCATAGCATAATCAAGGAGCTCTATGCTGTAAGGTCTCTTAATTCCAATTACAAAGCAGCCTTCTACTGCTGACTCCAATTACACCAAAAGCCAGGTGTCACAGACCGTCACAGTCGGATTTTTTTTTTAATCAAGTTGGACATATTACATTTCTCTAGTAAGACAAAAATCGTATGTGCTCACTTACAAAATGGGAGATTCCAGGTATTTTACATACTGCATACAATTCACCCATAGAATATACTGTAAGAGGTAAGGATCATGAACACAAAGGATATAACACAAGTTTAAATCAAACTGATCAGTAAACATTTACTCAGTTATTCCAAGTATGTGACCTCATCCAGTACACCTTTCTCTACTTAAATTATTCCTCTCCTTTATTTTTTCAAAGTGATCTATAAAGAATCACAATAGCAATGCACTTTCAAGAATGGAGGTTTTATTTATCAGGCACTAAAAAAACCAAAACACTGTATTTTAAGATGTTTAAAGAAAACCCCAACTTTGTCTCATTTGTTCAGACTTACATTGGGTACACAGTCCTGTGACAACCTGGTGTCACAGGTCTCTGGAGAGGCTCGTCTATACTCTGATGGACACCAGGGAACAGCTTCTTCTTGGTTTTTGGAGTATGAGTCATTATCTAATACACAAGAAATAGAGAAAAATTTAAAAAAAAAAAAAGAAAAAAGAAAAAGTATATAGAAGCACTGCTTCAGAAACCAAATGGTGTCCCAGTGTCACTGAACAAAAATCCCTGGAATCACTGCAGGCTGTTTGGTGACATCGCATCCAAGGGCATGGTTCTATCATCACCGTAGCCAGACCCGTGCGTTCTGGGATCCAGAAGACATACAATCGCATTTATCTCAAATTAGTCACAGTATGCTAGATGGAGTTCATGTCAACTTTATGCTTTTTTACTTAATGGCTTTTTGCTGCTTGAGGTAAGATAGACAACGCTTGATCTGGCATAAAGCCTGTAGGAACAGTTAACTTCTCAATGTTTTTTGTTTTTTTGTTTTTTTGTTTTTTTCAAAATATTACCAAATCAGTGGAGTGTTCCAGTATTAACTTGCTCAGGACTTTGCTGTGTGTGCCTGCAGCATCACGGATCTAGCACTAGAACCCTAAGGCTGCCTTTAGCTTATTATTAAGCCATGGCCTGACTACCTCCCATAAAGGGGTAAACATTACCTTTCTCAAAGTTATTCTACTTCTTTTGGACAGTAGCTAATAAAACAGACAGTGAGGGATTTGGACTACTATGCAGGTAGAGTCTGGTATTTCAACAAACTCAAGAAGGCAGGATTCTAAAAGCTGATGAAACTGCTGAAATTAAACAGTTAATCCAGTAAATTCATTTATTGCAGGATTCTAATGAGTAGTACTCACTCCCAAGTACTCAGTTGTCAGCAGCTTCTCTCCTGCAAGCTCTCCCAGTTGAGGCTGTAAAAGCTCATCTTTGTCCAGATCAGCCTCCATGGTGTCATGGTCCTCCTGTAACAGCAACACACCTCAGTTATTTGAGCCCAGGCCCCCGAGAATTTTTTGCTTCAAATTTAGTTCTCACTTTGGCAGTCACTCAGATGATACACGCTTTCCAGATAAATGACTGTGAATAGCACACATGTAAGCAACGACGTACAAGCATTTCAATCAAAAAAGCAGACACCCAGAAACTGGCCTAGCCTTTTAATATAACCAGAAACTAAAGATTCCTGAGAGAAAAAGGAACATAACCCCTTTCTCTACAAATCTGCTAAATAGCACAGTAAGCATTCAAAAGTTGTTCTCCTTCAATTCCCAGCCCCAAATAATTATTCCTTGCTTGCCCTAATAAAGGCTCAGGAAAAACCTCTGTCATTAGTATCACTGTAAAACACTGTATGGTAGTATGAAGAGATGCAATGCTTCATCCTTAATAAGCAGCTGCGATGGGGTTTGGAGTTTTCTTTTTTACAGATCTGCCCAAGCCAGTCTAGCCATATACAGTACAGACCAGAAAAAGCACTCTGATGGCGTTTCTCAGCCACACTGAAGGTTGAGAAAAGCTTATCCTTGTTTAAAAAAAAAAAAAAAAAAAAAGAAGGTAAGTCAATTCTGAAAAGTTATATTACAGAAGCTCAAGCAAGCTACAATTCAAGCAAAGAGGATGGTAGGAAACTTGATAGAAAAACTTGTCTGTTTCTTGTTACAAATCAGTACCATCTAAGGGCAATGAAAATACGAATTTCAATTAAACTGTAACGGTTAACTGTAACAATAAAGTAGCCTGCATTAAAACAATTTCTGCTCTTTCCTGAACATAACCATGGCACTATATGAGACCAAAATACCCACCTGCATTTTCAGCAATTTGGGGTATGTTCTTCTACCTTGAAAAAAACACCAAAGTAACCTATTGCTGTTTTTCCCCAAGCAAAGCATTTTGTTGTTCATTTTCAAGAACTAGAGGCATAATTTTTAATCACACAAGACAAAACCCCTTATTGCTGGGCATTCAAAACCCCTCACAGGGCAGTGGTTCCTGAAAGGCGACGGACAGCAGCTGTTTCAGGAGCTATGTCAAAGCAGCAGCAGTTTGCGAGGAAGCTTTAAAGCTGACAGTACATGGCTGGTACAAAATTCTTGGAATCAGTGCTTTCGGATTAAACACCGCACTGACAGGAAGGCAACAATGGTCTGTTGACTTTATCTTACAAAAACCAAATGTAATCAATTTCTCAAACGAGGAGGTAACAAGAATTCACTCTCATGCCTATTTCTAGTATAGCTGTGGGTAATTCTGCTTGCATGGAAGTTATGCAGCTTTTACTGATCTACCAGCCAGGAAATTTTCAAGTCTGAGGGATTCCTCTAGCAAAGCACAAGTACTAATTACATATAACTGAGGCAAAAACAAGATATTATTTTTGCTTGTGTTTTCCCACTGAAGGGAATTCTCTTCCTTCCTGCAAACATGATACCCCAGATTAGATCAGGACCAGAAGTAATGAAGAAAAAGTGCTTTCCTTGTGAAATAGATTGTGATAGTAAATGTAAATGACTGCAAGAAAAAGCAAATGAATCATTCAATAAGTTATATTGTAATAGTAACGCAGTCTGACATAAACTCCATAAAATCAATGACTACCAAACTTTGATGGGCCCCAGACCACAAAGGAGAGAGCAAAGAAAATGAAAAGCACATTCGCTTTATGAGATTTAGAGTCAAGAAGCAGTTTTGAATAGCCAAAGCAAAAAAGGCCACAAAGAGTAGCTGCAATATGTATGTTTGCACAATGCTCTACAAAAACAACGTCAGAAAAAAAAAAAAAAGCGCTGGAAGCGTGCACAGGTATGGCAGCTCATGGAAATGCCCAGCTGCTCCCAGTCCTTGCATAGTGCAAAGCAACGAGACTACCATCTTTCAGAGTAAGTAGGCGCTGGCTGCAGCAGAGCTCTAGAGGCTCACAGCACTTAAGGATGGGGCAGTTTTTAAGTTCATGACCTCTGTCTCCCAAGTACCAATGAAACAGCTTAAACAATGTAATTTTTTCCCTGATTTAGGCAGTCTCATTGCTTACCAGCTCCTCGTTTACAGGGATCAAGAAGAGGTAAAAAAGCTTAAACTACAGACATGAAGGACTCAACACTCAGTAGCCCACGCAGACATCCAGCTCTACTTTGAACTATCTTGCTTGATCTCCCACTGTGGCTATGAAAGGGCACGCGTCTCCCACAGGTCTCAAGTCGCATCTGACAGCCTTGTGCAGATACCTCAGATATCCTAGGTAATCTTAAATGGCATTAGATGCCTGTGTCAACAACCGAAGCACGTTACAGAAATACTGCTAATCCGCACAATGTTCTAAAGATCAGAGTAAAAATTTTGCATAACGTATTTTTTCATGCATGGATTTAATAAAAAAAAAAAGCCACTAATGTTATCTGTAGTATATTCCAGTTTGTAGTCATTCAGTGCTGAAGTGAATTCATCTCTCATAATTTACTTTCTTAATTATATTTGCCTAAAATAATTCCAGCAAAGGATCAGCAAAACTGTTTCTCTCAACCAGTTGAAGAAATTCTTCTTTGAACTTGTTTCTATAAAACAGTATTACTGATGGAGTGGCTCATGTATTGCAAGGCAGCAGATTAACCTGTTAATAATAACTAGGTATTAATCACTGTGAACATTAAAGCCATCATTCATATTTCATTACAGTAGTGCGGAGCTTTCCAAGCCACTGTGAGAGATTTAGATGTGCATCTTCCACAACTTTTAAAATCTGCATGTCCATAGACAATTCTCATATTTTCAAGGCAGCCTAGAGAAGAACAAAAGAGATATCACTAACTTTCCTGCTATTTCAGGGTGCACCCTCTAGACACTCAGAGTCCTAAAAGACAGGGCTAGACAGGACCGCAAGAAGTCACCCAATCTGCCTTCCTTTCCCAAGGAAAGGTATGTCACAACCAGCTCCTAATTATCTAGGAGATTGGCAAGGAAGTTGAAAAATAACAGAAAACCACAGCTAAACACATGTAAACAGCCTACAACTAGACTATATATCTTTATCAAATAAAATCAAAAACATCCCCCCTCCCAACCCCATAGCATATTGTATGTAGCATATTTATTTTTGAAAAGAATAAAAAATGTGCAAAAATGAGGTTTATAAGTAGTCTGGTGGAGGTTTTTTATATGGTGGGCTAATCCAGCACTGTTAACCATTTTCTTCTCGGATTCTCTACAGAAGTCTGCCTACGCTATGCCTGGGTGGAGAGTTACCCAAAACAGTCAGAACACCATCCGGCTCTTTCATCCAACTATCCGCACGCGTGACGTATTTAATTTCCCTAACATTGTTTAGCACACCAGGTAACTGAGCCCGAAAGCGTCCCTCCTCTAGCTCCCGGTACACAAAAAGAGCCTCGACAAACATGCCATCATTCCACCGCTTAAATAACACAATGGCGCCCTGTTCACCACCGCCCACGGGCTGCAGCAGATGTTGGCAGCAAAGGCCTTTAATGGCTTAACGTCCTGACGGTCCGCGTAAGCTCTTTCTGTTGATGTACTCTGTAGCTGAAGTGTATTTTCACACTGGAGCTCACAGATTTTATTGCCGGGCGCTGAGTGATAGATGGATCAGAGGATATCTGATAAACGGTGACCGTACTCTTATCTATAAATCTCAAGCTTATAACTAAACTTCTGAGTTAGAGCTATGATACCACATATTTACTTTTGTAGGTTGCTTTTAGAGTTGGTCCAAGTAAAATAAAAAGCAAATGTAAAGACCAATACTGAAGATAAATTAAGCTAGTATTTAACAGAACAGTGAAGAGAACAATCAGCACAAGGAAGCACGCACTGTGACTGCAGGACAGCGTCAATGCACCCAACCTGGCTAACGTAACACAGATGGGTAAATACACTAATAGCCAGCACATCCCAGGCTCTATATGCTAACCTATTTAAAAGTTCAGCAGACAAACCCTAAAGCCAATTTACTTCCGACTAACAGTATCCACGCAGAAGCTTATCATACAGTTATGCTCTGGTGTCACATATTAGTAAATCTGAAATTTCTGAGTGTATGATGAACTCTTAGAAAGCCCAGATTTATCCTCCAACAGGCTCAACTGCATCTCGGCAAGTAGTGTTTAAGGAGAAAGTAGTCATTACTATAAGATCTGCTCAAAGCCAAGAGAGAATTCAACAACTCTAAATTAAACACAGAGAAAAGCAAAACCCACAAAAAGTAATAACAACAGGCTGGGGAGTCTTTGCATGCTCTTGGAAGCAACAAGAACTGGGGTAAAAACTGCAAATTAAGAGTCTGCATAAAAGTATTTTTGTTGTCTCTTAGTTGTGAAGGTATAAATACTGGCAGTAAGTTAATCAGCATTAAGTTATAATATTGGCCGGCAGTCCGAATGCACATCACCAAATTGTCAATATATGGATATATTCTGAAATGTATTCAGTTTGTGGTAGTTATAAAAAGTTACATCAACCCAAGACTTCTGATAAAATTTTCCAAAACTTTCTCTTGCCAGATGACAACATCAGATGTTATCACGGAACATCATCAACAAACAATAATTCATAGCATTTCCAAAACACAAAGGGCCCCAAGCATTGAGGCGCTGAGTCAAAAAAATCTCTGCTTGCTTAAGAAAATAACAATATTATAAGTTTTACATATCATTCTGCTGCCATGCTGTTTAAATACTACATTTTTGAACTGAGGGACTCAAAGAGAACAGAACAGGATTATAACAGAAGAGGATTATAATTCCCAGCAGCAATAAGCATTTAGAACTTGCTACAACTAATGTTATACTAGAAGCAAGCATTTTGAAACTTGCCTCTTTAGAGTTGTTCTTCTTCCTTTGAATATAATGGCAAAGCTAATGTAAAACTGACATCAGGCATTTCTGTTTCAAAGGCCTACTGTTACTCGACTCAAAAATAGCAACGAGTGACACAAGTCTGTTATAACCATATGATGGGTCAGCGGTAAAAACATATTTCAAACTGACTCGACCTAGACCTTTAGCTGGGATTTTGAGCAGCAGCAAATTGTCTAGGGGATGTGACTAAACGTGAGAAATAACTTCCCTTTTATTCCCAAGAACAGCTAAATTAGTGTTCAATACTATCGCATAATTCAATGGCAACACCATTTCTGAAGGATTTCCTTATCTCCTTGCTTCACAACAGATCAAAGTTAAGCTCAAAGTATCCTTCAAATAGATATACTAGAGAACAAGGGAAAATATCACCACCTTGGATCCTCACAATACATTGGACACACAAAGCCTTAGAACACCAGTTAATGAAGGGTATTACGCAGTATAGTTGAAAAAAGGGAAGTTATAAAGATTAATCCCCAGAAATCCCATCTTGCACATCAAGCATTGATTTTGGGCAGGGGCACTGGAAAGGAAAGATTACTGAAAACTCACTTCAGGACTACAGGAAGTAAAGAAATTGCAATAATCCAATCCTATTAGAAAAATCAGTTTACTGAACCCCTTTACAACAAAATAGAGACCACTGTTAAATAAAACTCTTTCATGCAGCTCTAAATACAGAGTTTCCACGTAGCTCTAAATGTAGGCAAAGTCACAAGGTAATCAGTTCACGTGTGGTCACTGTCACCACTTACTGTGCCACAACCCAGAAAACAGCTAACTAACCCATCGAGCACAAAACTGCTCAGGCCACTGCCAGGCAAAGGCTGGATCCTGCAAGGTGCTAAACTCCATGGCAGTTGAGAGCACACCACACTTTTTACAACGGAGATAATTTATTCTTATTTCTGTTAAAGTATTTCATCTATACTATGAAGTCCTACTACTGTGGTAGAGAACAGATGACAGCTAAGCCAGCCGCTGGCTTATAGGATGAGGTGTAACAGCTAGCAAAGGCAGACACAATACACTTGCTGAGCTTGAAGTGTCTTTTTATTTTTGGTTCAGGCTAAAACTCACTTGCTGTGAGTTTGCTCACTTGCTATAAGCTTGGTTTTCAGTACATATTGTGTTCTCTAGGGATCTTTGTAACATAATATTACTTTGCAGAGATCACTATGATCGCTAGCTCTCAATGTCACTGACTTCTACAGGGCAAAAACATGATATAAACGTATGAGCACTTACACATATACCTCTCTATTACATGCACAAACACTGTATTCCACAGACAACTACCTTAGCTCTTAAATTGCTCACACAGGACTTTTCAATAAAAGGGAAGTGCTATGCAGCAGACTTCTTTCAGATAAAACTCCTGTAGAACTGCCTACATGAAAAGTTTTCAAAAATCTCCTGTGCACTTACAGCAATGTAGCAATGGCAAAAACACCAGCAAAGACTGGGTTGAACACTTCCCTCACATCATTTAGGCCTTGCTTTGGTTGTTGATTTAGTTGATCAAATATCCTGTGTGTTTTCTACACTTGATCCCTTACTCTACGCAGACAGCTTCTTAAAAAATTCTGAAGTAAAAATGTCAGTATACAAATGTTTATTAGCAGAGCTGGAAATACAAAGTTAACCAGTTTGTATTTACTATGGTACAATTTATGATGCTTACTATTTCTATTAATTTGTACAGGATTTATTTCTTAATTAATTACTGGCTTTCCTAATTACATACAGAAAATTCATTAAATGCATTTCAAAGCTTTCAAATAATAAAAGCAGCCACACCTGAAACAGATGTTTGCAATATTGCAATCATTTACAAACAATTCTGGTGATACACCGAGTCATTTGCTTCTTTTAATTGCTGAAATTCATCTGCACAAAAGCAAGATTTCTGTTGCTACAAGAGCTCTCTTCTCTTTACTTATTTGAAGGATTTTGTAATCCTTCCTTTATCACAGAGATGGTGACTTGCCAAAACAAAAAGATTAGAATTTCAAATGAAGAAAAGGTAATGAGAACAGAGATCCAAACTTCTTGTTAATATACCTTGCTAATTAAATAAAAGTTTAAAAAAAAAAAAAAGTAGGATAAGCAAAGTCTGGATTATTGGCACAAATATTTTCTGTTTAGAATGTTAAAGAATTTTCTAAAACGTGCTAGTGGGCCTTTGTACTTACTTCCTCATCCTCTTCCTCCTCTTCATCATCAGACACAACACTATCATTCAATGGCTCTTCTACAAAGAAGCAAAACAAAACCATGTAGACCACATCTCAGACTTAAAAAAAACTGCAGTTCCTGCCCCTCTTTTGCAACACTAACATTTAGCTTACTTCTTACATAGACATGCCATTCTTTTCAGGACACTTATTGGAACTCTTCGCTCTTATAAAGCATTCTAGACACCACTGAAGTCAATTCATATCCAGGAAAAAGGCAGAAGCAGAAACACTCTGGAATGGCTCTTTTCTCATAAATCTCACTAGGAATTCTCAATGAATTTACTAACAAGACCTGAATAAAAGTATGCGTGCTTGCAAGCCTGCCTGTTTTTCAACTATATTTTATTAAAAGATAATTACTTCTCCCTACAAACACCTCATTATCAAACTGTTTACAAGTAAAAAGGCAGTACTCACGTGGAACATTTGATTGTTATTTTTGTGTAATATAGCAGAAACATCAATAACCAGTTAAAAAAAAGTAACATAATTTTAATAGTAATAATGACGTTGACAAACTGATTTTCTTAGAAGAACCAAGTCCGTGGGGCTGTACCGGAAACCTGTACACTCGACTACTACTCACCAGACAAACATACCCTTTTAAAAAAAGCCATTCTCACAGGCAGAAGAGGAGGGATTTTATATCCTTGTTAACTTAGAGCGTAGATGCTGCACAGGGACAATACAGTGTTTAAATACTTTATTTGTTTTTTATGTATTAGGACTATAAGATACACCATCTTCTGCTGTCTCCACCAGGAAAAGAAAGCAGTCAAACTTGCTCTATTTTTGTTGTACAAAAAGATCTCATCTGAATTCACCTCCTTTTTGTTACTCTCTCTTCATCCTTCCTTTCAGCCACAGGGAACAGAATATACAACAAATATTACCTTTCCTCACATTTTGTCTGTATTACCAGACCATCTACAAGGCCTGGGACCCACCAACACATTCTCCAAAAAGGATAGTCTCCGCCCTCTATTTAGGATAAGCCATTTCAGACAGAGCTGCACTTCTCTGCAGAACAAGACATGAGCAGAGATGGATCCAGTCCACAAATCCTGTTGTAGAGATTGTATCACCTGTTTATTTTTGCAGTTGACACCCTTCTCTCACTACTGTGAGACCAATGGCATAAAGGAAACAGTCAATGCTATGCTGTTCACAGCCCCAGAACTTTGGGATTGAGACCTACTCAGGCTTTTATTTCTTTATAATTGTAACACAAAAGGACGTTTTAAAATACATCTGACATTCAAATCCTGACGTTTGCTATTCGCCCTCTCTCAGTCCTTCACACTATTGTCATTCTTTGAGAGTTTCAATGCCAAATAAAAACATGAGCCTTCTTATGGCTTTTGTGAAAGATTTACAGCTCAGATAGCTGCATCTGTTCCTCTCACCTGAATTGAGCTGCTTGATAATAAATTCAATCTGTCGGATCATCTCTGCATTTCCTTCCTTGATAAAGCAGCGCAGAATTTCTTCCATTCCCTGGATGTAGTGGAAAATATTGCTAGATTAGTATTTCATGTGACTACAATCAGTGTTTCATTTCATTAACTAAAATGTCATTGTTTTGCTGGGGAAAAAAAAAACACTCTTTTTTTTGTCCCTACTCTTCCAAAAGACAAAAGAAATATGTTGCCTATATTGCTTCTAGGTTTAAATACAGAAGTATCCATGATGAACAGCAAATTTCTACAACAGATCTGCTGCTTCTGCCTTCTGAACTCAATGCACAGTCGTCAACAAAAAGGTCAAATTTGCATTTGGAGAGAACTGTGCAAGGTTCAAAGAAGGTAAGCAAAATTTAGGACCAGCTTTGATCTTCTCCTAAACTCAGTTTCTTTCTTTGCGGCATCTCATAAGCTTGGTGTTGTACCTTTAAACATTTAACATGACATCCAGTTCCCTGCACTCTGTGAGGTAAAACATCTGACAGCAATTGAGTCTGCACAACTCTACAGATTTGTCTTTTAGTTACAAAGATGCACCACTATCCCAGTAATAGCTTCTTCAAAACCAGAAGTCAAAACACATTTGCTACCATTATAACTAACCTTCACAGGGGTCAGCTCCTAGTTCTGGGATGACCCCCCCCTCCTGCTGCCCTCCCAAACCAACCATTTTTACACCAGGCAGAAATAAATGCAGCAAGAGGAACTCATCCCCTTAGAGGCTATTCACTGGGGCAGAATGAGTTAACTCCAGGAAAAAGCAGCAGGCCAGATGAAAGCATCTTCTACGACATATCCAGTCTGTGAACTGCCAGATGGACTACTCTATTCTAAAAATAACATCTTCAATTTATAATCTAGACAGAATCCTTCACATTGCTGGAGCTTCACTTTTAAGAGAAGACCAGCCAATTTGGCAAAAACCTTTGAGATGCACATTCACACCTGCTTGCATCTCAAAGGTGGAAGGCCTCTTGTGGACTCCCTTCCTGAATCCACAAGAGGAGCAGTGGCCCTACCTCTCAAGCCTGCTGAATGCCACTCAACAGGTACCCTGTACGCCATCTTTGGCATATGTTGATCCTTTTACTATGCAAAGCAGAATTTCTTACCATTGCTCTGGCTTCCTCTCGGACAGAAGGGATAGCGAGAATGCTATACAGTGCTCCATTCACATACGGTTGTATCTAAGAGGGAGGAATATTTGCCCATAGTCAGACTGCGAAGAACTCTCACTTTCCCCCCATTTGACTATAACCAAAGCTTAGGAGTGAAAGAACAAAACTATTAAACCTTGCTCACAGAGTTTGACTGGGCTAGCCTGCACTTGTGAAAATTCCCATTTGAGAAGCAGCGAACTTCTAGGACGCAAGTACAATATAGTATGGTTGATCTAAATCAGAATTACCACGTGCTGATTACTATGCCCTTTCTGAAAATGTATTTTTGCAAATCAACTTTTCCAAAAAAAAAAAAAAAAGAGCACAAAAAAACCCAGAAAAAGCTGTTTAGTTTCTGACAGGCACTTGGCCGTATAAGAAATAGGAAACGACATAAAGAATTGTGTCAGCAAGAACTCAGGCAGACTTCAACCACCGTAGGCTTAGGTGGGATGGTAAAAGCTAGAGCAACTTAAAACATCCTCCCACTCTTCACCGCCTGTTACCGTCCCACAGCAGAGGCAATAAGGAGCTAGCAGCAAAGCTCTGTAATATGGTTAGTGGAAATCACCAGATCTATCAAACTATTGTTATCAGCATTTATGTGATCCTTTGTGTTGGTCAGCTGCTTTTGGGGCACTAAGATCTCCAATCATCACAGCCTATGAGGAGTAACTCTATCTATATTCTTTGAAAAATGAGCTAGGCTGAGAGCAGGGGAAGCAAGGAAAGATAGGGGACTAGGATGTACACAAAGATTCTACAGCTTCTCAGAAAGTGCTCTTGGGTTGCCAGGACACCTATCTTCTGACTTGATTTTGATAACAAAATTCCCATCGGCTGCATGGGTGCAAACCGGGTTGTAAGCATGCATCCTCTAAGAGAAACATCGGGGTCATTCTGAGATACAGATTTCAACAGCACCACAGTATTTTCTAACTACTTCAGACTCAGGACCGGGATGTTATTTTGTATTAATATGTATTGTATTAACTTACAGCATGAAAAACAATGCTAGTGAAACAGTCCAATAAAGGTATGCCAAGTTTAATCTTACTTAAAACTGTTAATAAAGAAGAGTTGATCTATGTTACACAGTGAATTTATAAAACAGGGAGTAAACACTTCATTGAAATGTATTCTTTATTTTTAGCTTAAATGACAAATAACAATTAAAAAACTACAAAACAGATACACTTACCGTATATAAACCTGAGACCACAAAGTTTTTATTTTATTTTTAGTAAAAGTCCCAAAACTAAAACATCGCATCAAGAAATCAGTCTAGAGGGTCCTGGCAAAAATTCTGCCTGCTTGCAATACCAGCTTGATAGCATATTTGATCTCACTTTCTCCTCCCTTGAACCTCCATAGTTAAAAAAGTGCCCCTCTGCAGACACAGCGGAAGCAATGTTTTATGTAACAGACTGTAGACTTTTTCAGAGTAATGTGCTGAGAAGCATTAGGTAGAAATAAACTATCAATTTTAGCATTTTCCTCTGAGGCTGTTTAATTTAACATCTTGGATATAAGTGTATCTCGATACAGAAAAGAAATTTGGACCACAAAATGGTAAAGCGGCAGGCTAAACGAAGTGGTAGATGAAAAGATACTAAGGCTTGAATGTCACAAGTCCACTGCTTTCTTATAATGTTTAAAACTACCGGAAGATTTGCTTCTTTGTACCTGATGTTTTGCAAAATGGCTTGCACCACACATTGTTTATCTCATGAACTAGCTAAGCTTGAAAGGATTTGGTATAAGATAACATTTAAATAGCATTAGAAATCTGCAGTCAAGAATACACATGGACTGCATGATGACTACGCATAACACATTCATTTCCAGATATCAACACATGTTAAAGAAATACATAATTATGCCTAGCAAGGTCAGAGTCCAACTAAATCACATAATTGTGAATTTTAGGAAAATTTCAAGTAACTTAATTATGTAGGGCTCTAAGAAGGGAAAGAAAACCAATTTACTTTTTTTTCCATTTCTTCCTTTCTTGCTTTTTATTTATTAATTTTTCTTTCCACCTTTTCCTTGACCAAAGTTTACTGTACAATACCTCATGATTCTCATGGCCAAGAAGATCAGAAAGAACTTTGAGCACACGGTTTGCGATCTTTGCACACATTTTCTTTCCTGCAAAGGGAGAAAACGTTAAGTGTGTTTGAAAAAAATGTACGAGGTAAGAACAAGCTTCCTTCTTATTTCCTGAGAGCAGTACTAAATATAACTAATTTAGAAGGAGCAATGCTGTTCCTTGCTCCTGCCAAATGCTGCTCAGCATAACTCTGCTGAAATCAGTGGAGCAACTGTGGATTTATATAGATGTAATCTTGGCCAGGATACAACATAAATCTAACAAAAGTAAACAAATACATTATTTTAATTTTGCCAAGCAGTCACTCTTTCATCCGTGCCTTGCTTTCCTTTTTAAAAGGAAACTTGCTTTAAGCTTCTTTCAAGTCCCTGGGGCTTTGGCAAGACCATTACTTTCTTGAGGGGAATCTCTGCATTGTAAAAGCAGTGTTGCATGTGAGTATTTCATTCCCCTTGGTAAAGTTTAAGATCTTTGTTATCACTGATTAATTCAGTTTTGACTTTATTTTCTAAAACATGTTTCTTCCACAAGTAAGTATACAATGTCCTTTGAAAAGAGGACCTGGAATGCAGGAAGGGCTGTCCTCATGTATGAATCCAAAAAATAAATTTTGGAGGGCTCCACTGATTAACTTCTTTGTAAATTCTTTGGATTTTGGTCAAGCTACCCTCCGCAGTTTGGGATTCTTGGGGAAGACACCTGCACAAAACCACTAGTTATGGCACTCAAATATCACTGGATATCTGGGTCCCCATTACTAATTATGGTCACTTGAAAGATTTCAGTAACATAAGGAAGAAAGGATTCAGAATGTTCCCTATCCGTTTCTTGGAATAAAATCGTAATTTGAAATGTAAGACACCTGCACTCCTCAGACAAAGATTCATGAGCAAGGCAACCGAATACTCCAGTGTGTAATCAGACAGGCAATCTGTATCTGTTAGAACATCAACCAGCCAGAAAATGAGCCCATCTCTGATCATTGCCGATTGCAGTGCACGCCTAGGATTTAAAAAAAGACAAGTAGATTTAGAATACGTTTATAGGTACTATGAGTACACTAAACCCTGCTTCATCTATTTGCCATGCACTAGCCTGCAAACAAACAGACAAACAAAGAAACTACGCACTTTGGCAGAATCAAACCAGTGAACTAACAAAGCCTGAAGAAGTGAAAGATGCAGATTCCTGCACAATTGGAGGATTAAAACATTGCTGGACTGGAGGGAGAGGGTGTTTTGTTTTGTTTTGTTTTTTTAAGACCTAAAAACTGCTGGGGTAAGTTTCTTCTTTCTACCTAAAATTGCATTGTCAATTGTCTTCAAATTGTTAAAAAAAAAAAAAAAAAAAAGGCAGCACACAGAACAGACCCATAAAACAATTTGATTACTGCTTCTGCTATAGCACTTTTTAGTGTTGGACAAATTAGATCTTTGTTTAAATCTATTTGCTCTTTCCTCTAAGATTTTCACACTATGTGATTCTTGACTCAAACAACAGTTCTCCCATGATGACCCTCACAAATGAAGACAAAGAATTCTTTCTCTTAAAATTGTATATTGCTAGAAAGGTCTTACTGAAGAACACAGTTTTTAATTGCTTTATTTCCTATGGCCTGTAAGTCTATATTACAAAATCTACCGTTCACAAAATGAAAGCCGATATTTTCACGGTCTTAGTGCTTTGTATTTAGATCACTCCTGAAAGCTCCTAAAACTTTCTGGTCCTGGAGCTGTGGGATAGGTCTGTGGCACAGACTTAGGCAAAACAAGGTTGCACCCAATCCCCGACCTCCCCGCCCCATGCCAACTCTCTGGAATTAACCTTCTATAAGATTAACTGTTATTTCTCAGAAAACAGAAACTTTGAAATTTAAGTAGCATATTTCGCCAAAACATGCCAAGGCCCCAAAATTCAACAAACTCACCTGCACTATCGACAACTACTGTAATGGAAGTTTCATTTTCTCTAAGATTTTGCATTTTGCTTTTTTCTGGTTTAGGATTCCAATCAGTAGAGAATGTAGATTTACTCTCTTTCATTCTCAAATGGGTACAAGGTTTCATGCCAGAAAGTGCTAAAGAATCTTGCCCAAAGCACGTTTACATGAGCTCTACCCAGAGAAGTCCTAAATACGGCAAACGCAAAAGCCCTCATCTTCAAAAAACCCAAACAAACAGCAATAACAAAAAACCCTTCTCGACTTAATTTAGAAGAAGAAGATGGAAAATGACAAGAACTAAACACATACATCTACCTCCTTACACTCAATTAACTATTTAGGACTGAATGTTCCTCGAGTACTGTGAAAATAGAGGTCCTAGATTAAATTTATCTGACAAATGAGAGCAAAATCATGGCCTTTACTGCTTTCCCATGATATTTCAGCATCTGAGTCAGACTGCTAATACAAACATAAGGAACAAGACAGCCCATACATAGACAGCTCCAGAAAAGAAGATCAACAGGACGAGGACGAAATCCCCGAAAAATGCATATAGAAAGGATAATGAAAACCCTACACATGGGAACTCAAGTCAGCTCTTTTTTCTATGTGGGAACTTCAGAATTTTCTGTGTAAAATTTTCACTTTGGTTGCTCAGTTAAGGAATATGTATAAAGCATACAAAGTTATGACAGGAGATACACATTTACTTGAGTCTTGACAGCTGTTAGGAAGTCAGATTAATTCAGTCGGCAAAACTGAGTTCTCCTCCCTAATAAATGACATGGCTTTCATCAGTCATAGGAGGTTCTGATGACTGTTATGGGAAAATCAAGTCCTCCTCTTTCCTCCCTGAACAGAGCCTAACTAGCCTGCATTTCCTCTCCCGCTGTCACCACTGCCCGCTGTGCTTTCATCACCTGAGGCTAAATTTCTGCAGAGCCCCCAGAACATTCTCTCGTGTAAGGGAATCCTTGTCTTCAGCTTTCAGTCTCTCCTCCAGCATTCGCAGCAACTTTGGATTCTGAGAAAGGTAGAGACGACCTGGTGCAAAAAGTGATGAAAGAACAGATGCTGAGATATCAGCCCATGACAGAAAAGCTCCCTCACCTTGGAAAAGCAAGCTGGATTGGCCTCAGTTTCTTCCTCACAAGCCACACTCTTGTGCCAAAACCCAAATCTGCACAAATGAGCTGTCTAACAGACCAGCTGCACTCCAATCCAGCCACTTGGAGCATGAGGTCTCCACTTACCAGGCTAGTACCTCTGCTTGTAACAGACAGAATCCACTATTTCCCTTTTCAGTACATGCTTTCTAACCTACTACAGAGTTCTGTATACTCTAGCAAAAGCACCGAGATGTCCAAAGAGCTCAGGAAAGTTAGGTGCCCCTCTGCTAATGAATGTGAGTTCCTTCAGAAACATTGACCTGAGAGGCTAACATTTGGGGCAGGCAGAAAGATAAAGCTGTATACACATATAATCAAACAGGTAGCAGTGATAGTCAAAGATTTATTCAAGTGGGGACCAAGAAGATGCAACAGCAGCCGTACTAGCTACTGCTGCGCAGCCTGGTAGCAGGTCTGCCCACAGAATCTTTAATTAATGCAAAATATTCCCCCTCCCTTTTTTTTAAAGCATCCCTTCACTCATTACCCTCATGAAAAGACTGAAGACTATATTAAAGGCGTCACCTGTGTAAGCTCCTACAGAGACCACAAATTATCCAAAGACAGAAATAGTGAATATACAGGGTCAAAATGAAACCTTTCTAGCTACTAAAAAACTGTTTTGAAGGCATGTAACAAAAGACAGCGAGTCCCAAGCAAAAAGGTGCAAGGAAGGCTCTAAAGTTCCACATGCAGTGACATACACGTGTAAAGCATCTATGAGCCAGCACTGTATGACAGTACCACCTCTTATGCAGTTACCTTCTGCCAGCGAAGCAAAAGCATTGATGAGCCTTGCCATGTACTGTCTGACTACCTCACTCTTTGAATGTAATAATTTGAGGACACCTCTCTGAAAAAGAAAGCAAACATTTAAAAAAACTTCACTAAGCAGGAAAATTCAAAGTTAAGTTTTCTGTATGGTTTTAAAAGCTTCAGCAAATTTTCACAGCAAGTATTACAATTATACTGCATGTGCTACTTTAAAAATTGTCAGTACGATTTAAAATCTTCTGGTTTCTTAAGGAGGCTGGGGAAGAGATGGAAAATGAACAAATAAGCAAATTGCAGCTGCTTGGCTCAGTTTGTTAAAGCGCCATTAAGCTCCATGGCTCAAGATGAAAATTATAACACAGCAGCACCCTTCAAGAGGAAATCTAAAACCTACCGCATTCAAGTTCATCAACATAATTAACATTTTTTTAGCCACTGACCAAATACGGTACCTGAATAGGAATGCTTTTGCTTGACAACTAAGAGTGTGGGAAAGCAGCACAATAACTTACCAAGACCACCGCATTTCAAGTTATTTTTAATCTCAGTTTTATTTCTGGTGTTACCTATACATGACTTTCCTCTTACAGAAATTTACAGGCAGGAAAAATGGATTAATCCTTTAACATTTCTAATAGAACAAGTTATCATTGCAATGACAACGAGAGCCACAACATAACAAGTAGGCTAAATCCTTCAGGCAACTGGGGAACTCAATTATGTAGAAAATTAACTATTATAAATGAAGAAAATGCTGCACTTTTGTTGGCAATAGCATTGGAATATCAATGGCTGAAGCTGCCTTTCCAATCCACATGCCAGCTAATCCTCCTTGATGAAGGAAGAAAAAAATCCATTCCAAATTTAGCAAAATACACTGCTGAACATAAGATTACAAGTACATAATCAGATATTTTATACAGGCTTTCTAAAAATGAAGTGCTAATTTAGTTCTTATCCTAGATCAGTGAAATAGATTCAGTGCCTCACCTAACAATACATAATCACTCAAAAAGAGACATAGCTTTTTACAAACAAGAGCCAGCGCCTAAGTAAGGGGCTCAGTGGGCTCCTGCTCAAGTCACAGACGTCAAGCACCAGGAGAGGTGTGCCTGGAGTACTGACAAACTTCCACATGCCTACAGCAACTGTACACACCTGCCAAAACAATCTAACCTGAGAATTCTTGTAATGCAAGACTGTTACAAGACTGGGATGCAGCAAATCAATATATCATGTGATTTTGTCACTACTACTTTTTTTTCTCTCCAGAGAGTGATAAAAGTTTCTGATCAGCACTTCATAGAAACAAATGAACAGTATCACATACAACCTGGCGGAAAATCTCTTTCTACTGACCTGACAATTGCTGTGGCAATCTAGCAGGTCATTACTGATGTATGCTTGCAGGACAGTGTCTCTTTGTTCTCCAGGGTATGATGTTGTCAAGCGCTAAAAATAAATAAAAACACAAATAAACCAGCCACTCAAATGAACAGTATTGCGCCTTGACAACTACTGAAAGATTTTAAAGGCTGAGATACCACAGTGGAGAATTAATCCTCTTCTCATGAGAAGAAAGCTTTCAACCTCTGCAATCTAAGAGAATGAGATGAAGTGAACTGGCCAGATCTCAGCTCAGTGATCCATTACAAAACTGTTAATCAGGAGCTGTCAGGGTCCATTCCAGATGGACCCAGCATTACTTCCCATAGAGTTAAAAGAAGCTACCCTAACAGCTACAGAGCTAGCTAGCAAGATAAGAGTTCGCTGTATTGCCTTTATATAAAGCCTTGCTGCACTCAAATAACGCATACTGTGCTGAGCTCTGGTCAGCATATCTTAAGAAGGGTGTAGTGGAATTGGAGAAGGTGAACAGAAAATCAGCTGAACTGATCAAGGGGATGGAGCAGCTGCCTTAAGAACAAAGACTAAAAAGTCCCAATTTCTTGTTTTGGAAAAAGGAAGGCTGAAGGGGACACAACCAAAAATTTATAAAAGTCAAGAATAGGGAATCGCTGACCTAATCTCACAACACCAGCACTAGGGGCAGTCGATTAAGCTAGTATGAATTAAATTTAAAACAGATACAACAAAATGCTGCTTCACATAAACAGATAAAGCAAAATGCTTCTTTATGTAACAGGTAGCAACCTTCTGAAATTTGATGCCACAGGAAGTTGTAGAGGCAGATAGCATCAGCAGGTTCAAAAAGGCAGTAGACAAATTCATGGACAACGGGCACATAAAAAGGATACTAGACGGTCTACGAAAGGATATATCCCCAACAACCCTAACCTGTCAGTTCTAGATGCCGGGAAAGTACAAAGAGAATGGACTGCAGAAAGTGGCTAGGACCACATGCTCTTCCTAAAACACCCGAGACAAAATACTGGGCTAGAGGGACCATTGGTCAGATCCAGTAGATGTTTCATATGCAAAAACGGACATTGAATCTTGATCAGAATTTCACTATCATCGTCTTTCATGTCCATCACTTTGATCTCATCAGCTTCCTTGCCAGCAAGAAACCGCAAGTTCCTGTTGTCATTTTCTATTTTTCCAAAATACCATTACATTATCGGAGTCAACCAAAATGTAGGCTCTTGTAGAATATGGATTATAAAGGAAAACTGGTGATTAGTCAGGTACTTTTTGGATACAGTAATACTTATATGAACACCTCATATGCATTTCCTCAGAAATTATTTCCACTGAAGATCCCAGCAACTCCTCTCTGGCTTTCATCAGGCAGAGGGGACAACACATAGCTACTGCCTGAGCTTTCTTCATCATCTCAAGAGCCCAGCAAACTTCACTGACAGAGAGAAGCTGCCTATAATACTGACTGGCTCACCAGAAATCATCACTTTGCCCACAAGACAAATTTTAGTTCTGGACCACTCCAGAAGGAATCCAATTCTTTACTTCTACGGAGGCCCCCTCACTTACCCAGCGCAGGGCCTGCAGTAAGAAGGCCTTGAGACGATCATTCCCCATAATCAAATCTTTCTTCAGCTTCTCATAATCCAAAGAGGGCAACAACGGCACATCCTGCATCTTCCTACAATGCAAATGGGAAAGAGACATTTGTCAAAACTCCCTCTCTCTCTCTCTCCTTGTTCGGAGATAGCTGATGTTACTGAAGTGAGAAAACCAGAATGGGAAGTTTGCTTCAGGAAAAGAAGTTCCCCACATTTTGACACCTTTGTAACTCTTATTACCTTTACCAAGTTAGAATAACAGAACTTGAAACAACTTTTTAGATTTGGACTTATTTTTTTACCTTGTGTGAAGCTCATTTGTCATCATACTTTGCTGACACTAAACTGAGAAAATTAGCCAATTGATGATCCAGTTTTTTAATGGCATAGAACAGCTATCCGTTCAGTAACACCCTTCTTCACCCTTTGCAGACCACAAGGACACGATGGCAGCACCTTGTCGTTCTTAGCATATGGTTATACACAGACATAGTAACAAGCTGCAACCCCAGCTTCACTTCTGTGCCCTCACACACACAGCAACGTCTCCTCCAAGGCAAAGGCGTTAGGCTGAATGGATATCTACAGGCTTCTAGCTGGACCATGCTGGATTAACATAAGACTTAATATAGGAACACTTTCCATGTACCAGTACAGTCCTGTTAGTTTGAGTCTTAACACTACAAGGCCAGGTTCACTTAACAAAATGGCTTTCAATCAATGATTTAATTTTAACATTTAAACATATTCTACTGAAACAATTTATAGTCCTATCTCCCGATCCTGCCACTTTGCAAAACAAATTTTAAAAGCCGAACGCGGTAAAATTGTCCCTTTAGGCATCTTGTAAAAAACAGAAGGATAAAAATAAAAGGCCAAAAAACCTTCCCCCCCCCCAAAAAAAAAAAAAACAAAACCTTTTACCGCAGATATACAAACTCTGTTCTATCTTACCGGCCAAAAATTACTAAATCAATGAAAGATGGATCTTGGAGCACACAAAAATTCAGCTTACCAATTCCTCCTTTTCCTGGATTAGTGAGAAGCAAACAACCTACAACAATAGGACTGCACTGTGTGGAAACAGTAAAGAAAATGTAGCAACCAAGTCACAGG